GTGGGCTGAGGCGGCCAGAAGCGAGCCGAAATGGATGCACTGGAGCTTTGCTTCACTTCGATCTAGGTAAAAAATTCGAAGACTTCGGCTTCTTCGACTGAAGTGAAACAAATCTGGCAACTTTGCTTCAACTATTATTCATAATATTTTGGAATTGTATACAACGAGACCATTTATCTTAGACTTCAATAATCATGGATACGTATTTTTATAGTGACTTAGAAGCCTCAAATTGGTTTTAGATTTCAATAATCATGGATTTGAGAATAAAGAATTTTAAAATTTTAAAATAATGTATTTTGTAACTTATTATCTAGACTATTTTGTAAGATGTGCACAATTTTTAGAGCTTCAAATTTTGTGAGTGCGAAAATAGATTTTCAGTTCATCATAGAGGGTTTCTCGGGTTTCAAGCACTATGCTTTGATGTTCCTTCTTATGTTTGGAGTATGACCATTCGTGATGTTTATGTTATTTCATCCACTACTCGTCGTGATCGATGCACGGTTAAGATGAATTCTAGCTCTGAAGAATGGTGTTATCTGGTGTGAATGGTGTTATCTGCACAGGACGTGAATGGTGTTATCTGCGGAACCTGGCTGTGAATGGTGTTATCTGCACAGGACGTGTATGATAAAGCCAATCAACTTTGGGAAAGTTGGTCTGTACTCTGTACCAGCGTACTTCGTTACCGTAGTCCATAGAAGGTATTGTCCACTTCGTATTGTACTCCTGATAAGTAAAATCTTAATTCTTGCACTTTAGAAATGAACGGTTGAGATGCTATGCACCATAGCCTGTATTTCTTTTGAAAAGTAAGAATTTCATCGTTGAGCGTTTTTTACCCCTAAGTCGGCAAGAGGTTCGATTGACATGGCTAAACCTAATGGGATTATTTACAAGAATGCTATTTATCTTTTGTATATAGAGGTCACAATTATTTTTGCCTTTTAATTTCAAAATAAGTTGTCGTAAGAGTGTCATTGAATATACACAATGTTCCAAAATAAAATTTCTTGGGCTTCGTAACTCACTCCAACTCGTGCCATGTAAAATCTAATGAGTGAGAATGATTGTGACCTCCATATACGAAAGATAAAGGAAAAAGTTTATATAAAGATGCTACCTTATAATGTAAAACTATGGATGCCCCAACAAAAATCCATCGGAAAAGATAGTT